TTGATGTTCGGGATTTTGATTTTCGGGATTTTGATTTTCGGGGTTTTGATGTACTCCCATACAAATGATATCCCCTTTAGTGATGAATGCATGCATTAGTGATACAAACACTCATATAATACTCACACGTATTGTCACATCATTTATACAAAACTAATCACAAATTCTATGTCAACAGGTTTGCCAAACAATGTGTCAATTAGTTTTTAATTCAAATTTTAATTAATTAATTTTGGTGTCATTTTATATATTTGATTTACACAATAAAATATTAATTTATATAATCTATTAATTATAATATATTTGTGTAGATATGGGCTCAAGAATTGGTTGCCATATGTCTACAAAAAGGGTGTGTTTTAGTCATTGAATCACAACTAAATACAAATTCAATTAATTAATTATATTATCTTTATTTCAGGCAATAATGTCATCCAATGTTAAGAATGGCACTCAAGAGGAATATCCGAAGGACTCGTTCGACAGATTCGGTGATGACTTGTGTGGACTCGTGTTGTAAATTAATTAATTATATTATCTTTATTTCAGGCAATAATGTCATCCAATGTTAAGAATGGTACTCAAGAGGAATATCCGAAGGACTCGTTCGACAGATTCGGTGATGACTTGTGTGGACTCGTGTTGTCTTATCTGTCACTGAAAGACAGCTTCAGATATGAATGTCTGTCCAAACAGTGGATGAGAACTGTATTCATACGAAGGAATACCTTCTCTGTGTATGAGTTATGGCAGAAAACCAAGTGGCTGTTAGAAGATTACAATAAGAAGATTAACGTAAAAGGATTTGAATCAGTGGTCAAAAAGTGTGCAAACATTACATCCATTCATATTATGATAAATACAGAAGAAGATCAAAGATTGTTTGAAATACTCACGAATTCATACAAACACTCATTGAATGAAATTCACATCAGATTTAGCAAGTGTAATGATGTGATAATAATTGACAGAATTTTAGAATATGGCTCACTATTCACCAAAATAACTGAACCTAAAGCTGGTTATGAAATATTAAAATATCATATAAATTTATATACAAAAGTCAAACAATTATCCGGTTTGCCTGAAGACAGTCTGTTGTCAGCGATTATCACCAAAAATAATGAGATATTAGTTAAGAATTTGATAAAATTTAACTTCATTTACTGGTACTGTGATTGGCAGCGATTGCGAGCATTTGTTGATTACTATAAGAATAGCTTAAAGTCTATTTCAATTCACTTTAATTGGTTGTCTGCGAAGAATACATTCGTGTAACAAAACTGTTGTCACAAATGAAAGCATTACGAGAACTTAAAATTGAAATACGATTAATCGACATTAATTCAGATATAATTCAGCCTATAGTTGACTATCACTACAAAGAGTTTGACAATCAATGGTCACAACTCCAGAGATATCGACTGCAAGTCCGGTGTGAAAATGATGTCAAAGTGAGACGATTCTATAGATCTATTAATAGAATGAAAGGATTACGAAGACTACACTTAAGACTACTTACAACTGAATATCCAATGAAAATAGCATTGATTTGTCATCCAAATCATTGTCTCGATTAAAACAATTAACACATTTATCTTTAATGCTAATGAATTAAATGACAGATTCTTTGACTCTATTGATACACATTTACCACACATTCAGTCGTTTAAAATGAATGCTATTATAGAACTGAGCGCCGGTATTGAGGAATCGGTCAAAAAGTTGCCAAAACTTAAATGTTTTGTATTCAATAAATATTTTTGAAGCAAATATTGCTAATACATTAGTAATAATTACCGTATTTAAATTTAACAATAATTTTGTTGTTAAAATTATAGAAACTTAACATTTGTTACACAATTGCTTAAACAGTATTCCTAATGAATGCACATAACTATAAGCAATACATTTCCATAATAATTAATTTTGTGTTTAAAAATTAAATTCTCATAATATTATCATACTGTATCTTTTAAACTAATTCTGTGTTTTGTTTTACTTTCAAACTTTTAATAAATAAAAATATTA